TTTTTTTTTTAAATTTTAGTTGTCATTGTTGTTTGGTGGGCCTGGGCTGGATTTGAACCCACCAGCTCTGGTGTATGTCGCTGGCACCTTAGCCGCTTGAGCTATGGGCCGAGCCTAATCCTACATTTTCACAGTATCTGTGCTCTAGTCACTTCTGTCCTTTAATCTACTGAATTTGCACAGAATCTCTAAGGCTGAAGTCAAGACCTGCCAGGTGGTCTGTCTACTTGTTCACGCATGATGAGATATTGCCCAGAACAAGGTTGGTATCTAGCCTGGACTATATACTAGCCATTTGGGATGGCTCAGAAAAACAGAGTATGCTTAAAACAAAAGGGGTTGCATTGAGAAGACCTTCTGCAAACAATTAATATATCCCACATTTATTGTATGAGCAAATGTTAGAAGCATCTAACACCTTTACCATGAGCCAGTCTGGAATAAAATTTGGGGGGATAGGCTTTCAGAGAGAAGCAGAAGGAGTTGTTTTCTGTTTGCTCTTGAGAAGCATTAAGACCAGATGGGTAGAAATCAATACCATGTTGACTTTATGCAAGTTATGGGTTATTGATCCTGGCAGGTACTGGAGTCTGTACACCATGGTACACGGAGCCATCAAGCTCTGGGAGACCTCACCAGCAGTGCCAAGGGGTCAGGAAGAGAGACACAGGAGGAGGGCTTAGCTCTCAACCTTCCACTTTCCATTCAGAGGATGGCTGCACTTCTTCCTAAGCTAGAATATTTTATAAGAGTTCACTTGGGTGTAGAAAAAGAGGGGGAGAGTACTATTATAAGGAGGGAGTTTATTATAAGAAGGGGTCAACTCATTGACCCTTTCACCACGTGAAGAAAGAATCTCTGTGCCACAAGCTCCATGACACAGGCACGTGTCTACCTGTTCCCTAATGTAGCTCCTGTCATAACACAGAAGGTGCCGTTGATCCTTAGTTGAAGGGCAGGTGAGCTGTCCATGATCCTCCTCCATTGGACAGCACAGTGGTGCTAGAACCCTCCTCCCTTGACATGTGGTCAGTGGTTCTTTCAACTTGGTGCAAGTGGCCTTTAGAAAAAGAACTTGTGCCAGGAGTTCATAAACAAGGGATTGATGAGCATTAATTAAATGTCTTCAGACACATTCCTTCAGGGTGAATCTTTGCCATACAACTCCAGTCCAAGTTCAAATACTGCCTGGGAAGTAACCCATACATTCTTTGGCCCCCTCTCTGTGTGCTAGACACAAGTTCACCAGGATGGGCCTGTGGCTGGCAAAGAGCAGAGGCCTTGACAGAGGGAAGAGGAAGTAGGGCTGCATGTGACATGCCAGCAGAGCTTGACCAGTACAAGTGTGGGTGACAGGGCCAGCCTGGAAATCAGATCATGGAACCATCACTTAACTGTGGGCTGGGGCAAGTTTTTGACTTCTCTAGTCCAAGTTTCCTCATCTGTAAACTAGGAGGGTACCCTCAGAGACCGGCTGCCAGGACGCTGCATGCCAAAGGGTAGGCTTCAGGAAAGGTCCCTGTTATGATTACATGTGATAACCATCAGCATCATTTCCTACAATGCTGGAATAAACAACGTAGTTTGGAGCCCTGACTGCCTGGGAACCCCCTTCTCTGAGTATTTGGGCTGGAAACATGCTGGAAAGCCTGGGCAGCATCATTTAACCAGCTGCACTGCACTAAGGCCCCTGCATTATACCTGGGACATGGCATTTACCTTCTCAGGTGAATGGAGAAATGCTTTGTGGGGTCCTTCCAGGCCTGGAGCACACTTATTACCCATGAGGGGCTGTAGGAGGCACCTGTGAGAAATACTTTGGCAATAAGGGATTGGGGAAGGGATTTAACATCATTGGCTCTCATTAGTGAGACGCATATGAGCACAAAAGTATGTCCATCATTGGTTATTCTCCACGCCTGTGGTGTAGGCGGCCACGCAATTACTTCTCTAAATAGCTGCAGAAGAAGTTAGCCAGGGCTCCTCCTCGGGCTCCGCTTCTTGCTCAGAGGACGCCTGTTTGGTGCTCCCCTACTAAGTCTGCTGCTAGGAGATTGCTGCTGAGATGCTCGCTCCTACTATACTGACTGTGACTTCTAAGGTGCTTTGGCACCCAAGACCTGAATGAGACCTACCCCAAGTAAGCTGGCGCAGCAGCCCACATCCAGACAGTTGAGTGGGCTGGGGCTGGAGACCTAGTGTCCCGGCTCCAAAGAGGCCCTGGGTTGGGGCCAGAGACACAGCATCACGGGCCAGACAAGGCGCAAAACATAAGGCAAGAGAATTATAGGAAGATGCCCTTGGCAGCCGCCAAGACTGTCCTAGCATGCAGCAGAGAACGTTCCACTCTGGCCAGAGCCTGGGCCCACCACTGAATAAAGTAACTCAGAGGTATGCCCTTCACAGCAACCACAATCTTTGGTTACACCCAGGTCTTTCTACTTGCCCTCCTGCAGCCTAATTTTAGCCAGGTTATAAAACAGTTCGAAAATATCCAACTTATACAACACGGCAACTGAGGACTCTTTTCCAGAGCATTCAACTCAGATTGGGCCAGCTGGAATGGATGCATTTTCAGCTGACCCAGGAGTCAAAGGTCAGCTGTTGACCTCTCCACATCCCACCCAACCCTCCTTGCCCCCGAAAGGCTAGGCGGCAGGCAGAACAGCTGCAGCCCCTGGGTCAGGAATAGATGCTGCTGCCTGTCAGCCAACACATCTCTCCCTCTGTGAGTAATGAGTGTGCTCCAGGCCTGGGGGAGCAGCTTAAAGCATCTCTCCATTAATCTAAGGAGGTTGACGCCACAGTCCAAGTTACAAGCGGGGCCCTAGTGCAGGAGAGAGAGCACATATTTAAATGCTGCCGCAGAGGCCACCTGGCTTTCTGAGCACGTAGCCACGTTTCTAGCCTGGAAGGCCCGTTACACTCAGATCTAATTCCCAACATGGGGAAATGTGACTTTTTGTAATTTGAACAAGTCTCTGAAAGAACCTCACCTGCAGCTGAAGCTTCTCTGTCTCTGTCTCTCTCTCTCCCTCTCCCTTTCTCTCTCTCTCTCCCTCCTCCCCAGGAAGGTTTGAATCCTAATTGAGAACTCAGTATGGAGGGACCTGGCACCAACCCCTCAGGCTCCAATCCGAACCTCTGTCCCGGGTGATGAGATAATGAGGAGCACAGTGCCCCACACAGCTGCCAGCAAGGGGGAGAATGTAGGCTGGAACCCGGGCAGGGGCCGGGGCTGGGGCTCCTACCCCGGACAGTGGCTCTACGACCTAGCAACACACACACTTCCTTTTTATGGATGACAACCAATTAAATAGCACTGTAACCAGAGACCATGCTCAGTACATGTAAATTCTTTGAAATACGTTGAGACTTCTCCATGGGTAATTTCTTCCCAGTTTCCTGTTCCTGCAATGTTATTGAAATCTCTGCCATGTTTCCATCTTCAAGTTACAAGCAGCATATGAGAACCGAGGCCTGCTGAAAATTAGGAAATGCTCCCTTAGAACCAACCTGGGGTCAAGGCTGGCTTCAGAGGCTTGTGTCCCAGACCCAGAAAGGCCTGTGTTTGGCTTAAGGCTCTTTGGTCATCATCTTGAAATTTTTAATAATTTTTCAACAAGGAGCCTCACATTTGACTTCACACAAGACCCCACAAGTAATGTAGCTGCCTGGGGCTCTGGGACACTTTAAGGAGCTGGGAGGATTTAGGTCATTTTCTGCTGGTCATTTCCAGAGGAGAAGAAAGGTTAGGAGAGAAGGCGGGAGGGTGCCATGAGAAAGAGAAAAGTAGAGAGTGTGGCTTCTCTCATTTCCTTGGGGACACTGGTGTTCTTCCACTTGCTAGAACATGCCTCTCTCTGATCTTACTTCCTCCAGATCCTCCCTGGGTGGCTTCTCCTTTTCATAAGGTCTGAATTCCAATGTCCCCTCAGAGACATGTCCACCTGGCCCCCTTCATCACAGCACCACGTTCTCAGCCTTTATAACTCTGATTGTATTCCTGTGTTTTATCTGTCATTTACACACACGCACACTCCTCCATCAGAATGCAGGTTCCATAAAGGCAGGACCATTCCTGGGCCCTTCTTCCTCTCTATTCCTCAGCAATTCAACACGCCTGTGTTCCAGCTACAGCTCCGAATGCTAACTTCTGCCTGACCTCAGGCAAGTTATTCAACCTCTTCTTATCTGCACGATGGAGAAGGATAACAAGCAGCAAGTGGAACAACACGAACACCTAACATCCTGTCTGGCATGGAATAGGTGCTCAGTGAGAATTTACCAAAGGAATGAATGAATGCAACTGGGGGTTGTTGAGCCCCTACTGTGTGCAATGTGCTGTACTAGGAAGTCATATTTTCTCACTTATTATTACTAACCCATCTTTCAGAGGAAGAGACTGAGGCTCAGAGAGGTTGAGCAACTTGTTCACAGTTATGCAAAAATAAACCACTATATCCTTAACTGGCAATCAGGCTTGTTGAAATGCAGAGCCTGTGTTCTCTCTGATTCTTCCCCTACTTCCAGTGCGATGAGTCTGCACATTTCTTGCATTTTTCTTGCATTGCTTTAGACTTGGTGGTCTGTAGTCATTTCACACCTCGAAGCAACCCTGAAATGCAGGTGAGGTTCCTTCCGACCTATGATTCAGGTGATGTGTGAAAATTGGAGATCCAGTCAAGGGAAAGGCAACAGAAGCCCAGCAGGGAGGGAGACTTCAGGCATTCAGAGCGGATTCCTGGGCTTTCAGACCCTGGAGCTTAGAAAAGGTGGATCAGAACAAAGGATGAATCTGAGTCTTGTTACCAGGAGCAGAAACAAATAAAGGAGTCTGCTATTAGGGCGAGGGTGAGGGTGAGGGCAGGGTTCTTCTAAAGCTGGTCTCACTCCCTAAGCAGAAACTGCAGTGGGACCTGTGACCTTCAGGATCTCCATCCCCAGGGAGGGGCCTGTTTTTTGCTTCCTTGTCACACTTCTTCCCAGTCTGTCATTCACACCTCCAAGCCCGACTCTCTGCCTCGTTCCAATTTTGTTATTCTTAAAAAACTTTCATTGTTTATTAAAAAAGCAATCTCTTGCTATACAATTACAAATTGTTCAAAAATATTGCCCATTGGCCAAAGATAATAGTATCTATAGCCATTGATCCCCACAATAATTAAAAAAAAAAGATCTATCATTTGTATGAATGGAAAAACCAGTGTAAGCATCAAACAAGTAATGTTGACAAAAGGGGTTTGTAATTACAGTAAGTCCTGCCATGACACTTGTAAGACAGGAGGAAGAGGTGGGGGGGGGTCCTTAAATGCAAGGAGGAGTTAGCAAGCAGCCACCACATCAGGATTTGCCCTTTCACCAGCAGTTTGACAGCTGTGCAAATTAGCAGGCAATGCTGGGAAGACTTGGGATATGCATGGAAGCCACCTTGGCACAATCTGCCGAAGATTTTTCAGATAAAGCTCTTTATGCAGAGGCAAGAACATGGTGTTTAGAGTCCACCGGGTCTTCATTTTGCTGTTCCTAAGCGTGAACATCTTTTGCTGGAGAGTTTGAGGTTACAAATCTCTGAGCAGCTATGAGCAGCCCAGGACCACATCAAGGGAGGAAGGCTGTGCACATTCTAAAATTAGATGTATATAAAGTACGTGACTACTATGAGCAAAATCTCCTAAAGAGGGCACTTGTATAGCTAGGGATGTGTGTGCATGTTCTTTGAACAGATTTTAGAAAATATAAACTTGAAGAAAAAAATTGTCACCTGTAACACCTTCCCTTAATGTTAGAATCTTGGTGTGTTGCCTTCCAGTTTTTTTTTTCCTTGAGTAGGCATGGTCAATTCTAATATAGTCAATATAGATGTCTGGCTCTTCCTACTGGCTAAACCACAGCTGTCCAGTTTATTCATGGACAAACACACACACACCCTTCAAGATGTAGGTCCCATAAAGGTAGGACCACTCTGGCACTTTTCTCACTCTATTCCTCACCAGTTCAATACACCTGGGCTCCAGCTCGCTGCTTGTTACCCTCTCTGCATTCCCCACCTGCCCCACATGCACATGTCTCAAAGGCCAGCCCCTGCCCCCTGCCCCCACCTGTTCATAGGGCTGTATGTGGCAAAGGTCTGAGTGGGAAACTCAGCAGAACTGGATTCTAACTCAGTGTATGATGAGAATTTGCTGTGTAACCTTGAACTTCTCTGCGATCAGGGTCCTTGTGGGGAAACCCAGAGGGTTGTAATACAAGATCTGACATTTGACTGTTCTGGCTGCAGCACAAACCAGCTTTTCACAGGGAGGAAGATCAGGAAAAACAGGTGTCCAATCAGGCTTGCTCAGGTGTGTGCAGGAGCAGCTTGTAGGCATTGGGTGGAAACTGCACCTGCAGGTTCCTGGTTACAAGGCAATGTAAAAGAAATGTCTTCCTTTACACACAGAAGTGGGGTGAGGGCAGAGATGCTATGGCAAGGTTGTGCTTCCCACAGAAGCAGCTAGCCAAGGCTACAAAGGCAGCTCCTGGGAATAGGATGACTTGGCCTGTAGAGGCTGAACAGCCAGGGCCCTGTGCCCAGCTAGGACACTGCCAATCCTTCCAGCTGAGCAGCCCACCTGTGGTCTGTGGCCGGTTGGGACTTGAGTGGAGATAATGGTGGGGAACAGCCTATCTTCTGGGGAAGGCGAGAAGCCCTGACACTAAACTTGGGTGGGCTTGCCAATCTCCAGCCCAACCTTGCATCTTTAAATCAGCCCTTGCCTTTTTAAAATCATGTTCATTATTTTGCATAAACACAGCTTCCACTTACCTATGGGTACATCCCCTAGCGCTATGCTATGAACTCCATTAACTCTCCCTAACAGCCCTAGGAGATAGGCCACAGGTTGAAAACAGAAAACCTCGTGTCTGTAGGGCAAAAATGGTCAAATCTTGGCAATTTCATGTGGTTCATCCTAATATTATTATGTCCACTTTACAAATAAGGGAATTAGGCCAAGATTAGACACCAAAACCACCCCAGGTCATTTACCACAGTCCTTGTTCCAGACACGTTGCTTTGCCAAAGGCTTGGCAAGCAGGGCCAGGTGGTTTCAGCAGTGCCAGGGAGAGATACCTGTCTGTCCCCACCCAAGCAAGCCATGGATCCCTCCAGCCACACAGTGGCCATGGGTTTCCCAGCATCTGTGGCCCCCCCAGGCCAGCCTTAGACTACAGAGCTCCCCTCCCCCAGTGCAGCCCATCCGCCGTGCCTATCCCCACCTTCATCCTCACGGCTTACCTCTCCGTATCACTATCACTGGCCACCTCTTCCAAGGCTGCCTGCAGGTCAGCAATCCGCCGGATGGACGTCTCCAAGTCTGTCTGGAGGGTCTGCCTCACGGCTGCAAGCTCCTCCACGTACTTCTCCTGGAGAGAGACCACATTGGCCTTAGACTAGATACCCACCCACCTACCCACGCGTTCTCTCGGGAGGAGACACACCCTTAGCCATGCCAGGTGCCTAGCGAGCACCTAGGACACTGTGAGTGCTCCATGAGAGGCTCTCTCTGTGGACGGGTTGATCAGACCTTTAGCCAGGAGCCCTGCCTTTTATAAAGGAGGAAATGGATGTTTCAGGGCATGGCCCAGGGACACACAGCTTGTTTACCCATGCGGTGGGTGCTGCACCCAGCATGTCTGACCGTGCTCCGCACCTGCACCGCCATGCTGCCCAGCACACAGTGGTGCTCAGTCCATCCTGGATGGATGAGTAAACATAGCCAAGGGTCACAGAAGCTAGTTTCAGAAGAAGAACACACAGGATGGATGGATCTGGTGGGGAAGGTTGGCGGGAGGGCAGAAACAAGAATAGTTTCCATCCCACCCTGTGCCCTGGATGCCCCACCTTGTTCTTCCCAATAGCAACAAAGGCAAAGATGGAAACGCTTGGCAGGGCTCCCACCAGAGTAGGCAAAGACAACAGGCTGCTTTCTGTGGCCAGTGCTGTGTTGAGTGCTTTATGCTCATGCCTTCCCTTGTGCCTCACAAGCCTGGCACAAGATGAGTTGACTGCTCTGCTCCCATTTTACAGATGAGGAACTGAGGCATTGAGACCTGAAGACTTCCTGGCAGTGCAGACCTCGAGCTCAGTACGTCTGACTCCCCCTCAGCGCTTATTCCCTGTGCTTCCTGCCACTGCCCTACACTTGGTCTAGACTCAGCAAAATCTCTGCCTTCCATTTACACACACCCCTACCCTTTAATGTACTGAGTACCAGCTGAGGGTGATTTTACAACCGCCCTCCCCCCACAGCTCAGGGACATTTGGTGATATCTGGAGACATTTTTGGCTGTCACAAATTGGGGGAATACTACTGGCATCTAGTGGATAGAGGCCAAGGATGTTGCTCAACATCCTACCACACATAGGACAGAACCTACTGCAAAGAATTACCTGGCCCGAGTGTCAACAGTGCTGAGCTGAAATTCTGGGTTAAACCCAGGATCCTGCCTTCTGGGGAATTAATCCCAGGAGGGTGAAATCAAAAGGCAGAGCACAGCTCTGTATCTGAGGGTGCTCGGAGCGGAGCTGTTGATGACAGGGAGATGCTGAAAGCTGCCTCATCACCAAGCAATTGGGAATAGTTAGGGAAATCACAGCGTGTCACTTTGATGCTATTAGGCAGATATTAACATTGGAAATAAGAATTGTGGCAGCGTGGAACGCTTCTGTGAAATAACGGGAGGCAAACAGAACAGAGCAGAGGAACCTCATGCCTGGATTTTGCAAATAACACGCACACACACTCGGAGAGTTGACAGTATTTATGGATGGGGTGAAGTGGCTATTGGATGGAATTTTTGTTTTAAGTGGTTCTAATTATGTTTACTTTTGGAGTGTTGCTTAAAGGAACACACATGTATCAACTGGTTAGAGTGTAGATGGGGATTGGGGTCACAGAATATAAAGATTTATGATCAGATGTAAGTTCAATTTCCAGCTCCCCACAGAACTCACTGAGCCTGGGGTCATTCTGTTTTATTTTGTAGATGAGGAAACCAAGGCTGGTGAGGTTATTTGGGGCAAGTAAGGAGTAGAGCCTTGGTCTTCCCGCCTCCCAGTCCAGGAATCTTTCTGGGGCAATGAGTTCCCCACCCCAGAGGAAGGCAGAGAGGACCAGGGCAACTCCCCATCACAGGGACACACAGCTCTCCTCTGCAGATCAGCTTGTCCACTCACGCTATTCTAAGTCTGTGCTTCTCAAATCGTTTTAATTTTTTGTAATTTTCTAATTTTAAAGAGAGAGAGAGAGAGGGCAGGCAACAACTGAGCCAGCCCAAGGGCCCTGCCAAGCTGTTGAGAGAGGGAAGGGGAGGTGTGGAGGGAAGCCAAGTGGTGTGAGAAGGGGCTGGCAGTACACTGCGGTTGATTGAAGCTGCAACCGTGAAATCCCCATCTTGGGCCCCCAGGCTGGAGGCCAACTGCTGTCAGAGGAAATAAAGGACACCTAGGGACAGAGAGGGAGTGCTCACCCCAGACACCACCATGTCAGCTCATAAACACACCTTGAAAGTGTCTGGGTACAAAATCCCTACAGTTTATAAGAGCATTTGCCCATGCTCAGCTCTCTCCTAGTGGGCCAGGATAAGGGTGTCCCTGGGAATCAGCCACTTTCTCCCAGGAGATGTGGCACCGGAGTCTTTGGAAGACACAGAGGCGGAGAAATCTGGATTTCTGCCGTAGATCCTATCAGAAGTCCATAGGTCTTAGGCATGTGTTACGGACACTGAATCCCATAAACAGTGGTTGAATGAATGTCCTGCCCATTTGAGATGTGAGGAAGCTGAGGGCCAGAGCAGCAAAATGTCCTGTCCAACGTCACATAGCTGGGGTAGGGGGGTCACAAAGCTGAGATGAGCATCCAGGTCTCAGGTTCCGACACACGAGAAAGGAGCTCAGATGTCACCTCCCAGTTTTGTTTGGGTAAACAATGTCCACCTCAGTTCATGGAGGAGCAGGAAGGGTCTAAAGTTTACACCCTCAGGGAACCTCCTAGTGGTAGAAGAGGGACAGATCCTGGGTCCTGGGGGAATGAGGGCTGGTCTGGGACCAAACATACGGGTAGAGGAAATGGGGCCCTGAAAACAGTCAAGTCCATAATATCAGGAAAGTGAAGGTAGTCTCTGGAGCCCGGCTGCCTGAGCTCAAGTCCCAACTCCACTGATCACTGGCTGTGTGACCTTCAGCAAGTTACTTAAACTCGATGACCCTCAGTTGTCTCATGGGTAAATGGGGGCACTCTTAGCCTCTCCTTCCCAGAGCTGTTGTGAGGAGTAACCGAGTTTGGCAGATCAAATACCAATAGTGGCACTGCCATCATTTAATTCTTGGGGGAAAATGAGGGGCCTCAGAAAGGGCAGACCCATCCCCACATCCCTGAGATTAGAATGCAGGACTCTGGCTCCAAAGCTTTTTCATCATCCTGCAGAGAAAAGACACAAACCAAAAACAAAGGCAGCACAGGAGATGAGTTAGCTAGATGGAGTGAGAAGAGGTGAGAACAAGAAGCCATCAATAGAGGACAGTACATGGAACAACTCGAGGGACCTGTTGCTAGCCCTCCGCCAGCCCTCAGGCTCCACCGTGCCCACCCCACTCTCTGCATCCCATCCTCCATCTGCTGGGGATGTGTATCACAGTGGGAGCACCCCAAGGAGAGAGGGATTTGAGAAATGGAGTGTCTGTGTAATCAGCAATCAGCAAATCTTTCCTGCTTCAACTCGAAAACCAAATGGAGTCTGCTGATTGCAGAGACCACGTCATTAGGCTAAATGGATGCAGAGCCCCAAACTGTCTCTTCTTCAGGGCAGATAAAACAAGGCTGCAGCCAGAGACTCCCCCAGGAGTCATGTAAGGGGATGTGTAGGCAGAAGAGGGCACAGAGGAGGCATCCCCCCTCAGACCTGGGCATGCAGCCTTCTTGCACCCTCTGTGGAAGAGGACGTGGGCTAGAGATGATGACTCCATTAGACTAAGAATGCTGGGGACTGGTTCACAGCTGCCTCATGCAAATGGGATTGTGTTTTGAGGCCAGATGTGAACTTGTTCTTCCCTGTTGTTAGCTCTCTTTAGAGATTTAGAGTATGGAGAGGAATTTGGCAGATGAGGGGCACTTGGGATATAAAACCATTCAGATAGTTAGATGTATATAGAGCAGAAACCCACTAGGAGATAGAAAATATGGTCAGACTAATCTGAAACTATAAAACAGTGATATACACACTGTGACAGACACACAACATCCCTGTATATATTATATATATATTATATGTTCATATACTATTGGTTCACACATACATTCATTCAATAAACACTTGCTGAGCACCTACCAGATGCCATCACTGATCTAGGCATGGTTGCAGAAACCTAATCTATCCTAATTGCCAGTGTCTGGAACACAGTAGGCACTAATATATCCATAATTGCCTGTTCTGGAACACAGTCGGCACTCTATATATGTTTGGGGATGGAATGAATGGCGTTATTCTGTGACTGTTAGGGGTGAATGAAGGAAGGACAGGGTATTACACACATTCATTAATGCATACATAACATGTGTGACGCATGTGATACATACATGTATTATCTGTGTCGCACATACAGAGAGAAATATGGTAATGCACAGTGCGTAGATAAGATGCACACTTGCTGAACTCCCCTTGTTAAACTCCCAGGCTGTTCCCCCTGGAGTGTACCATGGAGAGTTGCCCATGGGGGAAGTGGTTCATATGGTAATTAATGGCTGTAATTAAAATCATCTCCTCTTGTGATGTTCAATTAGAGGCTAAGATTTAAAACTGTTGTTTGTTGTTTGTTTTCTCTGCCCAGCACATCTCAATCATCAGAGGACCCTTTCCTGTCTCCAAATGGACAAGACTCTCATTTGTCAACGTCTCTGGCCCTAGAGGTGGCCTTTCAAACATTTTGAGGTGTCTCCCAAAAAGTTAATTTCACATGTGCCATGTAATTTATACCATAGATCAGGCTACCTCAAAACACTTTCAAAATTTGATGAAAATCGGTCTTGTTATTTTCTTCTGATTCACTAAAGTCAAGCAGAAATAGCATCATGGAGCCTGGTGCTGAAAAAAATAATTACACGCACATATGCTCTTATAAATACACATGCAAACGTGTGAGTGCATGTGCACATGTGTATGTACAGTTACATATCCAAGTATCTCCAGTGTCTGACACACAGCTTACTTAATAAACACTAAGTACATACGCGTTAGAGTTTATGTAATTGGCTATCAGCAAACCTTTTCTGCTTCAACTGGAAACCTAAAGGGGTTGAATTTGGCAACTGGCACATGGTTCATACTATAGATCAGACTACCCCAAACATTTCTGAAACTTGAAGCAA